AGTCACAAGTGAACCCCCTTCATGCGTGTTTGGCGCCTTGCCATCGTTCTCGTTGTCTGCAGTTGGCGGCCAACGCAGCCTGAGCTGCGGAAGAACCGGCAGACCTTGCGCATGAAGCGTGCAAAAACAGGATGCAAGGTGGGAGGTTCTTTTGCTTGCGAATGTTGTGCACAAGCTTGCTCGTCTCTGTAGCTGACTGACCAAAGATCGGAGGTGCCCGATGTGACTCAATCTGGCAAATGAATCCTTTTGCCAGATCCGTAAATCCAGAGATCTGCTTTTCTCTGGAGATCAGCTGACAAAAACATACTGCAACTATGGATTTGTTGACATTTTCTTGAAGGTGCGTGTCTAGGACTTCAGCGGGTGCGCATGCTAGGATAGAGGGCAGTTTTCCGAGCGTCTAGGGCCGAGAACTCGGTAATCCTGGGTCTGCTTTGGAGCCTGCGCGAGGGCAGCTTAGAGTGATCGTAGGATTTGATGGTAGCAGGCCAGAAAAGCTCATCACGATGCTCATTTCGTCCGTTCTGGTTCATAGCACCGAAACGCAGCAGGGCGCCATCTCAATTTCCACGACATGGATTCTGCATTAACTGGCATTTTGCTTGAAACCTCGACCAGCTTTCGGAGGGCTGATGGGTGACGCCGGGGTTCTTAGCATGTAATAGCCTGCTGGTACCATGAAAGTTTTTTTTTTTTTTTTTTTTTACCACGACAGATGGGTGGTCCTGACAAGTTCGGAACATGCATCTCTTAACATGAAAAAGCCGTTGCTCGACGTTTGCCTGGCTCAAGGTGAAGAAAACTATGCACAGTACATCTCAGTACTGTAGAACCCTAAGAATTCCCCCGTGAGGATCGAGTGTGGTGTACTTCAACCATGCTGGTGACTGTGGACTGTGGACCCTGTGAAGCTGGGGTAGCAGAAGAACAAACGACTATGACAACGAAATGATGATCACCCACAATCATCCAAGCTTTTCCTCGCAAGATTCTGCAGTCCAGACACCAACTGCAGCAAAAACCGCTAACGGCAACTCTGAGCTATGCATCTATGCATGTTGGCCGGATGTCCCGATGGCGTCATCCTCCCGGGAAAGCATCCTCGTCGAGCTGCAGAGACTGAGGCCCTCCGATGCCTCTTCGGTCGAGCGCGTTCTGGACCCTGTGGCTTGGAAGAAGTGTTTACGGAAGAGTATGAGGATTGAACTGCAACACATACTCCGAGGTGCTGCAGAGCTGGTCTCGCAGTCCACAACGGGTTACATGGATCCTCTCGCGCTTGGCGAAAGAGAACTTGTCCACGGGACTACTCGTCTTGGAGGTGATGCAGCTGCGGCAGGTGCAGGCGCCATGGGCATGATGCCGCCTTCGCGCTCGCGCAATGTGCTCGTCGTTTCGCCGCGGAATGCCGTCTCAAGAGCTTGCATTCTTTTATACATATCTTCTTATATCGCCGGGCGACGGTATCCTAATAGTATATCACTTAAATTTGGGTTAAACTATACATGTGGGGTTCTCCGGTCCTTTAATTATTACTATTACTATTACTATTACTATCACTATTACTAGTACTATTATTGTTTACTATTATTGTTACTATTACTGTTACTATCACGATTACGATTACGATTGTTATTGTCATTATTTCGATTACTACTATTATTAGTACCACCACTATCCCAGGCCTAAGCTAGGCCTAGGGCTAGGCTAGGCATAGGCCTTGTGGGAGGCGAGAACTTTGTGGGCCTTTCCGGCAAGTGTGACCCTGCAGAGGCCAACACCGTGCACATGAACACGCTGCTCGGTGCCTGCGCAAGACGAGGAAAGTGGCTGATGGCATCTGGCTTGCTGAATGGCATGGTCTCACAGGAGGCAGAACTGGCTGTCTTTGGGGATCTGTAGTCGGTGTGCGTACCACGGTGGATTGACAACCCGGTGAGACATGCCGAAACCACCGTCAATCATGCCCAGGTCGACCAGGACATCATCTCTTTCAGTTCGGTCATCACCGCCTGCGAGAAAGGAAACGCCTGGGAATTTGCAATGCAGCTTCTCCAACATATGAAGACGACAACGGTGCGGACATTTGCCTCAAATTAGCCAGCCAAGCGCCGGGGTGTTGGTTGCTGCAAGCCTTGCCACTCTGGACTTTAAGGCAAGACATCATCTGCATGAACTCGGCCATCAGTGCCTGTGAAAAAGCTGGCCGCTGGCAGGCTGCCTTGTGGCTTCTTTCAGAAGCATCAGAGACGAGTGTTTGGGCCTTGGATCACGCAAAGTGCTTCGAATTTGGTGTGCAGCGGGAGCGGCTCAGGTTCGCCATGACACCATCACCCTCAACGGCTGCATCAGCGCCTGTGAGAAGGAGGGTCCTTAATATAGTAGGTGCGTACTTTCTGAGTCTCTCACTTCTGTCTTCTGCTCCCTCAGGCCGGCGAGTGGTCCCAAGCTCTGGCTTTGCTGTTTGCAGCGTCAGGCAGTACGGGCTTTCGGCGCACCCCTGCATCCTTTCCTTGCCAGTGCCTGCTTTGCCCAACGGTGCTCAGATACAAGCTTGAAGGCTTGAAGACAGACAGCATTTCCTTCAACGCAACCATCCGTGCTTGTGGCTGCGCTTCTGGCCAGCAGCTTGCCTTTCTCTGGCAGAGCGTGTCAGTGATGTCCTTTCGCATCGGCACTGTATTGACGCAGTGAAGTGGGGTGAGGGGTCTGAGTCGCGGAGAGTCAAGGCACTGGCTGCATGTTCTACAGCTCTTGCATGATGCTTGGCTGTCAAGTCTTGTAGCTTTGCCATTGTTAAACATCCTGCATTCGTTTGGAATTGCAGGAGATGTTTCTTTCCTCATTGCAGAGAAGCGCCGTTACCTACGCCGCAGCAATCTCTGGCATTGGGTCACGTTGGCAGCTGGCTCTTGCTTCATGCTTGCAAGTTGCCACATTCTCCTTATCCTCCTCCTCCAGCATGCTTAAGCGGAACTTACCATAACCTTCTCTTTGCGGCGACCTGGCAGGCTTTCCTCACAGACATGGACCGTGAAGTGGTTCACAAAGACTTGGTGCTTGGATGTGAAATATGATTAGCCAGTGCTGCCATACATGGCCTCATGGATATCCAGCGCAACTCCGGTGTTTCCAGCTTTCCAGCCAAGGTGTGTTATAATGCTGCAATCAGTGCCTGCGAGCGAAGCAGTTATTGGGAAATGGCTGTTTCCCTCCTGCAGTGGTTGCCTGCAGCAGACGGAATCTCTGTGGGAGCTGTCACTAATGCCTGCGCCAGAGGCACGAGCCTAAGTCTCGAGAAGCTCACGGCTGGCCTGACCCACGAGATCATTACAACTACGTTGCAAGGGCCTCCTAGATATCCTGAAGCCTAGAGCTGTCCCCCAAGAGGAGTTGTGTTGCCTCAGGTGGTTTGTGGATGCAAGCGGAACCCATAGGAAAAAGCTTTTGTGTCACTGCAAGGGATCTGTGTATGCTGGGGGAGCCCCGTGGAAAAACTCTATCCTGCCCGCCGCACCTCCATGCACCTGAACGTCCGGAACCCCAGCCCCCTGCCAAGGTAAAGGACCCTTGCCCAACGAGCTGTAAGTCTGTTACTGTTAGATCCTAGCCAACAGGGGCATCTAACATCAAACAACTCTGAGGTCTCAAGTGGCAAGCTGCTCTTGATCTCCTTCACAATATTCCCCTGGCCAAGACTGCAGTGACAGTGGGTGCAGCTATCACTGCATGTGCGAACAGCTTTCAATGGGATCTTGCACTCCAAGTATTTCACCTCATGGGGGACAAGGTCAAACTGGATGCGGTTGTGCTTCTCGACTGGGACACATATAGGGATAGATCAATCCATACATTCAATGTGACTCGACTGGCCCCATCATCCTTGAGGGATACTTCAGGCGACATCTGAAGGGTGGATGAAGGGGGCTCAGGGGTGCTTCAAAGGTCATGCCATAATGACATTATATAATATTCATAGAACTAATAATATGAAATAACATGAATAGTAGTATAATAGTAATACTAATGTTATTAGCATTAATCATGAACGTAATGAAGGGCCGGACCTTGCGTGAGACCTTGAAAGCGGCTTCAAGGGCATCTTCAAGGCATGGTCAAATGCGGCTTCACAAAAAGAACAACGGGACCTTGGGGGGGGGGCTTATGGGAGCCTAGGGCGGCTGAAGGCACAGCTTAGACGGAGGGGTTAAGAGGAGAACTTATACTCACGGAAGCTGAGCCAACTCTCCGACACCCCCTCCACTTTGCTTCAAAAGGGGGGACTTGAAGGGGAGCTTCGAAACGAACTCGATGGACACTGGGGAGATGAAATTTAGACATTGACTCCTACTTTTCTTTTCGTGGTTTGGTAACTCCATGAGGGGGGATAATTCTTTAGACGGTCACGTGCTCTTCTTTCACAGGCTGCCCCTTCGCAGTTAGAGGGACTTGAAGGGAGGCTACCCTTCAAAGTGAGCTTGAAGCGGGGCGAGCTCGAACGGAACTTCTTTTGTGTTGGGAGGTCTGGGGCGTGAAACTTGAATATTGACGCATTTTGTTTTGCCCAAGACACAGCTTTAGAGTGTTCATTTCGGTGCTACTGATTTTCTTGGCAATTCTGGGGTTATGGTTTGCATGGGCGTCTCTGCAGCAAGGCATCACGAATATGTAAATTGAAACAAAGTTCTTCAAGGTGCCGTGGGAATCCTCGAAACGTCACAGTAACAGTGCGGCATCCTCAAATGCGACCTGCTTGTCTGAGGTTCAACGCATCCATCTCCGCGTGTGAAAAGGGCTATGCTTGGGATATAGCCCTGGAATTGCTCCGCAGGCGCAAGACTGCAAGCTGCCATCGCAGCCGGTGCTGGTGAAGTTAGCTTGCACTTTTGGAGTCTGACGCCAGGATGCCGCTTTATCAACTCCAGCCTTCTAACATCACCTACAATTCCGTCATCAGCGTCTTGGACAGCCTAAATTGCATCAATTGCTTGCTGTCCCGTCTTCGGGAATGCAGCGGGAACAGAGCAGACCCCAGGTGCATGTGAGCAAGGGCGCCAGTGGCAGCCGTGCGTGGTGCTACTGGAAGACATGTGCACGGCTCGATCCTCAGCCTGATCCGACTTCTGTGCAATGCCTTCTAGGAGAAATGTCCAAGGACAGATTGTCTGGGGCCCTGAAAATCAAAGCACGTCATGTCTGACAATAAGTTTTTAGTTATGCACAATAGACTTAAAGTCGTGAATTTTGCATCATTTCGCACAGTCCTAAGCGGAGGCTGCGGTGCAGCCTGGCACGGAGGCCTTCAGGGTTGCTATGCTGCTTGTTTTGTTGCTGATCTGCCAGTCTAGCAAGGGTTGCCAGGCCGCTTTAGCGCTTGCATTTTGTTCGGAGGCCTTCGGGGCTGCTATTCTGGCCTGCGTTCGTGGCCAGGCACGGCTTCGTTACCTCATGTCAATGAGGCAACGGTCACGCTTGACTTGGGGTTTTCCGATTGGGCCAGCGGTTCTAGGAAGTTTCATGAGGTCCACCTGGCTCCACAATGATAAGCTATTGCTTAGGGCCGGCAGTGTGAGGTGTGGCAGACGGCGCTCTTCCTTGTCGACAAGATGTCGTTAGACTCCGTCCAGAAGGAGACTGGTGAGAGTTGGTTGACAGCTGATGCATGCTGCACGTAACTCCAAACCGTTGCGAGGATGCAGACGTGTGCTCATCGGCTGTGGGAGCCTGCGAAGCTGGCCGCTGCTTTCGCAGTGCTGCAGAGCTGCTGTCTGACACATGCTTGTCTGACCTGCTGCAATGAAAAACGGGGAGTTACTGCTTGCAAGCTCCCGCCATGGGGCAGCATATGCACATGTCGCGAGCGCCTTGTTACACCATTGCTAAATCTAACGTGACGTGCTGACGCTTTAAGCCTGCGAGACTTTTCTTCCTGATTTGCGAAGCGCGCTTGTAAAGCCTGAACTGTTGGATGCTTGCCTTGCAAAGTTGCCTCTGGATTCCAGCAGAGGCACGTGTGGGCATAGCAAATTCAACGTGCCATTCAAGAAGACCTTGATGGATTGATTTTGCTTCCTCTGCCGATCTCAACAAGCATTCATCTTGGTCTCGAGTGAAAGTGCGACGGCTTTTCCTAATCCGGTTTCGATTGTAGACATGCTCCCGCAAGTGTGACTGCCCACTACGATCTTGACTAGGACTATGAAGACCAGCCAATGACAGGCTTGCCATGCAGCTGCTTCACGGAAGCCTCCATGCCATTCCATGCCTCTGCAGCCACCAATGTCTCCCTGAACAGCAAACCTGGAGCCGTGAGTTCTCTAAGCAGCGTGTGGCGTTGCTTACCAAGCTCGGCCGAGGGACACGCTGGGAGGAGGCACTGGCTCTTGTGGCCGATCACGCCCTGCATGGGCCACATCTTGACGTCTTTGCCTGTGGGGCGAGCATTCGAGCCTGTGAACTCTCCGCCCAATGGGAAGTCGCATTAGCTTTGCTGTCTCTGGGCACAAGGAGCCGCGTGGTTTTGAATGACGTCGCGTACAATACTGCGATAAATGTGTGTGACAAGGCAAAGAAGTGGTCTCAGGCAAGGCGCATCGTACAAGATATGGAGGATCATCAAGTTCAAACTGACGTGATCACATGGAGTGCTTTGGTCAGTGCCTATGCAAAAGGGCAGAAGTGGGAAGCTGCCTTGGAAGTCCTGCACATGCTGCCGTCAATAGAGCTGGAGCCAAATCAGATGACATACAGCGCCGCCATCAGCGCCTGCGCAGCTGCTGAACCTTGGCCTTGGGCTGTGGATACTCTGCGGGCCATGCAAGAGCAAAACCTTGAAGCCGATTCAGTTGTGCAAACTGCCATTCTCACAGCCTGCGGCTTTGGGGCCAAGTGGGAAGAATGCATCAGCATCGCGGCAGGGATGGGCGAAAGGCCGCGGCAGATTACCTGCAACGCGCTCATGGCATCTTTGCAGAGAGCAGCCCAGTGGACTCAGGTCCTGACAGTGCTAAGCGACATGCAAAGCCAGGAAGGGCGCTGGAAGAACTGCACCATAGATGCCTTCTCATGTTCTGCTGCCATTGCCGCATGCGGCACCGGCGGCCACTGGCAGGCAGCTGTGAAGCTATTTACACAATCAAGGTTGCAGACCACTGTCTTGCTAAACGTCGCCATTGTTGCCTGCGGTGAGAATTTTCAGTGGCAACAGGTGCTGGTGTTATTGGGCCACTTCCGTGCAAGCCACTTCTTCCCCGACACCATCTCGTACAACTCTGCCATCACAGCCTGCCAGGTCTGCGCGCAGTGGCGGGAAGCAGAGGCCATTCTGGAGGAGATGACCCGACAGGCACATGGGGTGGCAAGCGCAGTTGTTGGCCTCTACAAGTATCTAGGCCTGTATCGCAACTATGCAACACAAAGAAGACCCCTTAAAGGAGTAGGGCTGTCTGAACCGATACTAGACACTTCGCGCTCCACAGTGTAGATGTAGATGCAGCCTAAAGCAGAATGAAACCACCTCACGACATTTTTTTTGTGACATGCAGGTCAATGCCATCCCAGACCAGATCACATTAAATGCGTTCATCAGTGCCTGTGGGGACGCTCAGCAGTGGCAGCGAGGTATCTCAGCCTTGCTTGGCCAGATGCACGTGCTGCATGGCATCGAGCCTGGCACTGTGACCTGCAATGCAGCTCTGGCTGCCTGCCAAGGGCAATGGAGGCAGTGCACTGCCATTCTGGACTTTGGGGCTGCTGCGGGAGTCAACCTTGACGAAGTAGGGTATTCTGCCACCATCTGTGCTTTTGATCGCAGTCATTCATGGCACCGTGCAAGTCTCCTCTGGCAGCGCATGCGGCAACAAGGCACCAAGAATCTGGTGGCTGCCAATTCCTTGCTTGCAGCCTGCGAGAAGAGATGTTTGTGGGACTCTTCTCTTGCACTTCTCCGCCGTTTTGACATGGACCTTCTGGAAACAGATTTGGTGAGCGTCAACAGTTGCACGAGTTGCTGCGAGAAAAGTATGTTCTGGTGGCAGGCCCTGAGCGTGTTCCAAGAGGCACGGATGCAGTACGACCTGATCAGCTTCAACGTCATGCTGCGAGCGTGCATGCACGCCGACGATTGGGAGGCAGCGGTATCTCTGTTGGCCCAAATGCTATCGGAAACCTTAGAGCCGACAGTTCTGAGCCTCGCGCCTGCGCTGGAGGCCCTGGCAACTTGGCGCATTATCGAAAGCTGTTGTCCGCTGTCTGACTTGTGGAGTCTTTTGGAGATCATTGGAGCTTCAACGCACCAAGGCAGAGAGCCAACAGAGTAAAAGGACCTGCGACGCTTGGCTGCATGGTTCATGGGTGAAGCTGCAAGTCACGACCCTCAAGAAAAGAGCCTTGTTTCGGGTCAGTGCCTGAGGAATTCCTGTACCAGCTCCAGGACATGATGTTGTCATCAGACCTTGGAGGGCGTTCATGAAGAAACCGACTGCGGTTCGAAGCTTGGTCCAGGTGCACACTTGCACTCACCGCCTGCACAGATCTGCACAGCCTCGGCACCCCCGAGTGCGGGGCAGAATTCGGCTAAGACCGGGACTTGCGGCTAGTTCAAGGCAGTCCTTGAAAAGAAATGCTGCAAAAAGCGCCAGGGAAAATGATTGTTGCAATCACTTGGCATTGCCTGCCAGAAAGCAGGGCTAGCTTGCAGCAAGCCGGCTCATGTAAGCGCCGTACATCAATGGCATCCATGCTTCGCAACTTCGCCACTGAAGCTGTTCTGGCTCAGTAGAACATGAAGCAGTTTTACAGCATGCTGCAGGCAAAGATGGTTCAACAGATTTTCAGGCCCTTAAGGCACAGGAAGGCTTACGGGGAGCGCAGCAATACGAAGGATCCGTAGATGGACAGACGCCTTCAGCACGTGAGTGATCAAAGGCTGCTGTACATAACGTCGCAGTTTTCAGTAGTTCGCTGGACTCATGGACGTTGGCAGGCGCTAGCCTGGGTTCAGGGGCAGAAATTCCAACGATAATTTGGGCAGGATCATTTGAGCTCCAGTCTAAACCATTTAAAAAGGTGTTCTATAGGGGGGATACTAGGAGCTTAGACTGTAGCTCATATAAACCATATACAATCCCGGTTTCCATTTCATTTTCCGTGTTCTTTTCCATTTGATTCTCCAGTATTGGGGGTATTATAGATCATTGGCTGTGGTGTTAACCTTGCTTTGGAAGATCCACCCGGTCAGGCCAGAGGAGCCAGCCAATTTGAGGCGACGCACCGTGTGACACTTGGTCAGCCTTGCTCCCCCTTTGAGACTGGTTTGGGAATGACTTTCAATCATTAAGGACCATAAGTCCTATAGGGCTTAGGGTTTAGGTATACAGATAGTCCCAAAAAAGAAAATTAATGATTATAGGACCCCTAGATTTATCCCAGTCCTGCCAAAACCATGCAGCACGCTGCAACCACAAGGCAACCCCTCCGCCTCGACCAGAGCGCAGCGGGCAAAGCACAGATAAACGCAGGGGGTTGCTGTTCAGACTGTTAAGGAACTTAAATGGGGTTATCACAATATGACAATATGGATACATAGTAAGAAAAATGCAGGGCTTGTTCAATATAGTAACTTGACTTTAGTTCCTTAACAGCAACCCAGACAAGCTGAAGGCCGGGCGGGTGCCTTGCCATCCTTCGAGGCAGGCGCTAACAGGCTGACCACTAATCGTAATAACAGTCGGGCTTGGCCTGGCCTTGGAAGGAAGCCTCGAGCATTAGTGGGGAGGAAGATACAGCTCGGAGTCCGCGGAGACCTCAGATGAAGGACCTGGGAACTGCTTGTCGTGTCTACTGCAAGCATCTTTGCTGTCACAGCCAGGTGGCCTGCAAAAGCTTCGCGAGAGCGTAGCTTCCGAGCGGATTCCGCCAAGGCTAACGCCTCCTCACGCTGCAAAGCCTATGTTGGTGGTACTACGTTGTTTTTCCTTTGCAACTTGTCCTTCAAATCTGGAACAAGCCACGGTTGGTCAGGCGAGAGCTGTCCCGGAGCAGTGGCCCAGCATCCACCAGCGTGGTATCATTGCTGTGGTCCGGGGTCCCAGTTATCCGCATCGTGAGTCTCAATTGTTCTGCTGTTTCTGCCAACATATGGTATCACATGCTTATGTCTTCCTTCTTCCATGCATTACATTGCATTACATTGCATTGCGTTGCAAGGCGCTGTCCTCTTGCGCAGTGCTGCTGGCAATTGGGCCCGCGGCATACTGCTGGTTGAATCAGGCTCTCCCAGCAACGAGCACAAAGGATTTGGCATTGCGATTTAGCATTGCGCAGCCGTGCCAGGGCAGGGCAGAGCTCGCTGATACGTACCGAGGGACTGCCCACCCTTTGAGTAGTGAGACGGACTGCTGCCACAGCAAAGAGCAGGTGCGCCGGAAGTTAGATCTCAGCCACCAAAAAACATGCAGCCTCATTCAGCAAAAGCGACACAACAGGCCTCCCCAAGCCATCATCATCGCCCAGCACTTTATTTGGGACGTGACTATGTCAATGAGGCCAGCCAGCTCATAGCTTTGCATGGCATCCACGCAGAGCCGGATGTTGACCAGGTAGCTTCTGGTGGCATAAACGGCTTGCTGATGATGGCTTGGGCCTCATTGAATTGCTCAGTCACGGCGTTTTGGAGTTGGGACACAAGTCTGCCCACAACTCCTGTAGGTGGCAACTGTAGTCTCTGGCATCGGGATCGATATGCCTGGTCAGCAAATCCTGGCTCTCGGTGCTGTTTGGGTCTCAGATACAGGTCGAGCGGTCGACTGCTGGGCGGAGCTTGTTTTCTTGTCATGTTTGGACCCAACCCGCCATGAGCACATGACAAGCAACATGGCCGTGGCATTGCCTTTCCTGACAGCATAGCTCGCTCTGCAAGGCAAGCCTCGTCTCCTATGCCTTCTCGATGGGCTTTGGCGCTTTTGTGGTGGCTGTGCTCAGGGGAGTGGGTCAGCAACTGTTTCTGTGTTTTCCTCCAAGCGTGCAGACAAGTGCACAGTAAACAACTGCAAGTTGCTCCTGTGCAGTCCTCGGCTCAACCGCTTCTGATGCTTCCTTCTGTCCCGTAGTGACCGCACGAAGCTCCTCAACAGACGAAAGTTGCATTCCTGTCTCTAGGAAGCTAACACACCATTCCTTAAGCCAGCACACCATTCCTTCGCAATTGATACAGTACCAATGTCTTACTCACAGCTGGCAAGACTCTTGATTTTCGGTAGATTTCGGCTTACAGGATCGGAAGCCAAAAATTGGCCCGTGCTCAGCGCTCCTACTCGTGCTTGTTTCATGATACCAGAAAGTCATCTGGACCTTGCAGCAGACAACGGTTTGGCCTGGCTGAGGCGGCGTTTACACTCGACGCGCTGATAAGTTGCATGACCACAGTCTTGCGCCCTTTGCGCTTCCACGTGCTCTACTGGGAGCCTGCGCTGGGGAGCAGGTCTGACCCCGCACCGACAATTTGCACCTCCTGCATGGGCGTTTCTGAGCCATGGCGCTGGCGAATGGACAACTTTCAGACTTGCCTCCGCATCTGCGGCAAAGAGGGACATGGCTTTCGCCAGGAAGTGGTCGACATCAGCTGCATGGGTCCTGGACTACGCATCAAATTCAAACCACAACAATTCTATCAGTACCTGACACAAGCGCGTTCCCGGGCCTTCACGGAGGAGACGGTGATAGGTACCGCTCTCCAAGTACGGGCGGGAGTCCTGGACCCTGAAGTTACAGGAGTTGAGGTGGAAGAGTTTGGGCTCGACGAGGTTTGGCAGGCTTCCCTCTCCAGGTTCACGGGTGAGATCCGTGCCTCTGCAGCAGCATCTTTGCCGTAGCCCACTCCGCCACCTCTTGGGTGGAAAGAGAGAAGTTGGTGCTTTCGCTCAGGCACCCTTTCCGAGCAAGCAGGCGGCTGGTCCGTGGCTCGACTTGACTTCGCGACTGCAGCATGCTCTGCCAAATATCTGCAGTTTGATTTCATGATTGTCCCTGCCGCCCTCTTTGTGGTGTGTCCTGAAGGTATCAATCCATCTGGATCCCGATGGCCAGGAGCTGACCAGCCTGCTACTGCCCACTTCGTCTGGTCTTTGCGGAGACCCTCCCCGAAGCTTGCCACCAAAGTAAGCGTTCAAGAACACTCAACCACTACGTACTGTGTAGCCGTGAGTCGATTCCCCGCAGTTGGCCTTTCAACATGACCTCAGGACCTCTGACAGATGCAGCGGGCTTACGTGTAATGTGAAGTTTCTGGCCAGTCGCTGTAAGTCTCAGAGCTGAAAAGGGTTTATAAAGCACTGGCCTGCATCTTGAGACCTCCAAGGTTGTCATCCTGCTGGGTGGGCCAAGCGGGTTTGGCAGCCACTTGAAGGACGTGAAAGAGATTCTGGGCCGGAATGGCTTGCATTTCGGACCGCTGGCTTTGAAAGTTGCCGGCGGGCGGCATCACTCCTACGTTGCACTATGTGATCTGCTACTTTGGCATGACAGGCAGATGCTTCTTCCAAATCTCTACAGTCTGATCGACCTGGGCGCTAATGCTTTTGCCAAGCAGTCGCGCGTATTGTTAGAGCAGCTTGCACACTTGCGTGCACAAACCATGGCTGGCACGCTGCACGGCAGCACCGTAGACGACTTAGAACAGAATGATGTCCAGGTCCGCACAGATCTACCTGTCTGTCAAATGCCACCGGATGAGGAGGTTGCTGATCTTGTCGAAAGGGAGGTGCTCAGACATGGTGGCGTGCTGAAGTGCAATCTCCTCTATGTCTATAACAAGCAGCTTCGACGGCTTATCGGCGACCAAAAGCTTCTGGGCTTCCTGCGACAGTTTCCCGAAAAGTTCATGTTGCGGTCAGAACACGGCTGTGACATTGTGGTGACAGTGAGGATGTCTGCAGTGCCAGATGAATCCACGCTCGGGCAAACTCTGAAGAGTGCGAATCTAAGCCAGGAAGGGCGGAGAGCCATGCGCGAGCTGGAGGCAGCAGTGATACAACTTTTGCAGTCGTGGATTCCAAAAACAGAGGAGCACGATGGACCTTTCCTTCCTCGGGTCGCCCGAGACAGCCGCGTTTCCCGCAAACTCCGCGGATTTGTTGGACACTGCCCCGTAGCAGCGATTTTGAAGCAACAGTTTTCCTGTAAACGGCAGCTTGCATCCTGTTTGAGACCTGAGCCTGAGCCAGCCTCTCCACCACAGCAGGATGAATTGCATAGAGGCTTGCACCTTTACGGTTCAGTGGCTGCATCATCCTCTGCAGAGGGAAGTCTGAGTTCATCTGAAGCAGCCTGGATAACCCAGCTTCTGCACTTGCGACTCTTCCTGCTTGATCGACCGGAAACGTTTCAGGTTGTTGACTCGGGTAAGGCTTGCACCAAGCTCTTGCCAAACTGCTGCTGTCACTTAAAGGTCAGGCTCATCGATGGGAGCAAAGCTGAGCTGAAGAGTCCTCAACAAAAAGCTTGCGCGAAGCTTCGTCCGGAAGCTAAGAAGGCAGCGGTTGCAGCAACACAGGACCTTGCGGCCATCCAAACTCTCTTTGCAAACGATGAAGTGCTGATCGTTGAGAAGCCTCACCAAGTTGCAACAGCCTCTATACTCAAATTCTACCAAAAGCTGGCTGATGAAGAAGGGCGTGCGCGACAGGTGGCAGTGTGCAGCTCGGACAATACTTCAGAGTCAGCGCAGGATCGCAATGTACTTGCAGTGCACCAGTCATGCCTTCAAGACAACCAAAGGCTCCAGTCATTCAGCCTCTGGTTGCATGATCCTGGCGTGGCACAGCTCCACCATGCACTTGCTTCAAAAGCAGGCGGAGGGTTGCCTGAGCCTGTGGGACATGGGAGCCGTCAACCATAGTGATAGCAGCAGCCCGCCAGGAGGTCTACGAGGCCTTGGTGCATGGCAGCCTTCAGAGAGAAGGAGAGATCACAGCAAGGCTGGCAATTGCTACGCGAGCAAAGTTCCTGCAAGCTTGGAGAGGTAGCACGTGTTTGAAAATGGGGTGTGGTTCAGGCTACACACCACGCGCCGAAGGGCCAGGACGCAGACGTATGTGGCTCCCAAGGGTGTGGTGGCCACAACGCGCTTCCGGGTCATTTCAACTTACCAGACTCTCGATTCAAATCTTGACTTCGTGGCTGAGGCCTGATGGATGTTGCGCCAATTGTATTATTTGTGCTGCGCAGCCGAGGCAATTGGGTGATGATAGTGCCGTGGATGACACCCTATCCCTCGTTGCTGCTGGGCTTGCACGGAGAGTCACAGCAAGACCTGGAAGCTCTCTCTGGGTTGGATTTTCAAGATCGCAGGAATGCCTACCACTCACAGATTCACAGAATCAGCCGATCGAGAATCAGATTTGCGCACATTTCGCCCACATCGGCCACAGCATTGTTGGGGACAAGCTGCAGCTGAAGCGGGACATTGTGGGAGAGCCTTTGGCACAGGCGTCGTGTAAGCGCGCCTTGATGCTGTTAGCTTGCTGCATGAGCGTGGATTCAAAAGCTGGGATTACGTTCCATGGCTCCTGTATTGCCATGCATTGCCAGCCAAGGCCTGTACCTCCATTGTGTGCAAGTTTCTGGCAATGGCGCGTTGGGCGCATTTCGCGCCGAGAGCCGGCCAGCTGAGTGGAGCAGCGTGCTCCGAGCTCTTGAGGAACAGCAAAAAAAGAAGGTCAGGGAAGGTCTCTCACCGTCGCCTGGCCTGGTCCTTTCCAGAAAAGTGTGGCGCCAAGGTGGAGGAGGCCAAGGAGGGCTTTGCCAACAGCCAGCTCCAGGAGGAGCCCCAAGCTCAGCGCGCTTCGTGGAGTTGTACGGAGTTAGCTTGCTTCTTTACGCTGGTTTGCCATGAAAACGGCTAGTGCAGTGAGGTACGAAGAGGTTCGGAGCATGCCGCAATCGGAGGTCGACGAGATGATTTGCCACTACAGGCGCCGGCCCTGCAAATCATAGGTCACACCTGGTGCCTGAAACGCATAGTACTTCACAACCCGAGTCGCTTAAGCAAGAAGAGTTGAGGTCCCAGGCCTGGTTGCTCTCGAGTATGTTTTCTGACAAGCCAGGAAGCGCGGACTCTCAGACCAGGCTGGCCTCCAACATGGACTTTTGATCTATTGTTCGGACAAAATGTATGAGCTCCAGTGGAGGATGCGCGTGCTGTGGCTCAAATTCTCTCGCAATACGAGGACGGCTTGCATCGTGTTTCAATGCTGCATTGTTGCTTGGACTATGTGGACAAGCGCTTCGCTTAGGACTTTTGGGTTCATCACATGATGGCCGAAGAGCTCGGCATCAGCCTTGGCAAATGACGCAGCCTGTTGCGGCAGCGCCTTCTGAGCCCACTCAGGAATTCAACTTCCCAGAGGCGGCGCGGCGGCCATGCACTCCGGCCTTGTCATGCCCTCACACAGCCTGCGGGCACTCAGCTTTGAAGGGTCAAAGCTCCATCCAATATCATCCAATCCAATTTTCCATCACTCATTGCAGATTCAACTTGAGGATTGCATGATAGGCCTTCGGCCGAGTACACCTTGATGGCAGTATGTAGCAGTGTAGAGTTGAGAAGAGTTGTTGCTCTTGGCTCCAAAGACTCCATTACAAAACTTGTAGCGAAGCTGTCATGCAGGAAGCTTGCAAGGATATCTGCAGTGGGGAGCTCCGATGCTGTGACAAATCCATCGATCAATGGCTAGAGTCTTCTGGCACCGGTTCTGAAATTGTTGCTGACATTTTCCGCTCGAGATTGAGACAGTACTTGACCTGTGTGGGCATCGCAGACTTACGGACTGAAATGGGTGAAGCGGGATCTCAAAGCCTTTGAAGGCGTTTACAAAGTCAGCTGCCGAGCACAGCCCAGTCAGCACCAGCCAAGCCATTGGCCAATCCATTGCCTGCAGCGCTGGTTTTCGGTGCGGCAGCTATGGAGTGGATCGCGAATGCTGCCCGGCGTGCAATCAAGAACCTGGTAGGCTGAAAAGGCATCAGTTTGGCTCCTGTGATCCTGTCTGACAGAGGCGGTTGCGTCGTTGTGGGAGGCCAGGTGCGTGGTTGCAGCTGAACACCAGCTGCTTGGACTTTGTGATGCATCCTGCGAGGCAAAGACACCACCCAATGTCCGAACCTCAACCGTCATTCAGACTCACAGCTGCAGAGCCTGGTTCGCTGCCTGAGGAATTTCCGCTCACGGTGGAGGAACTGGTGCCGGTGCCGTGTTCTTGGTAGCTTCAACATCAACTTCTGAGTGCAGGGCGGCGTGTGAGCCCGACCTGCGCTGAGGATGACGGATGTGCGCAACGGCTTGATGCCGGGTTCGAAGCACTTGCCCCATACCAACCAGCAAGCGGACGCAGCCAGCTCAGCTGTCGGGCACTCCAACCCCCATGGGCCGTACATTGCGTGTTCACTGGCGGGAGAGGCCCTGGTGGTTTGGATCCACCAGACGGGAGTTGCGCAGCCTAGCCGCAAGACGTTGCGGAATCCTTCGATGCCCGTCAGTGCATGTCAGCGCTGACAGCGAGCGAGGCTCTCCAATTCAGAGGAGAAGCGGAACAATCTGTTTCAATTTTTCGCCGAAAACGAGGCCTTCATGCGCCGCAGCAATGCTCAATCAGGGCTGGTAGCTGCCTGCAACATCTTGCCTGCGGCGTCGCAGGGCATTAACCTCCTCGTGAATGGGCTATTGGCCTTCGAGACCCTTGAGCGGGTCCGAGACCAGCTGCTCCAGACGGTGCCCTTGGACTCAGTCAAGGGCGGCTGCGTCATGCATGCCATGCCAGTATCATGCCCAAGCATGCGGCGTGTGTTTGAGTCTTTGTGAAGCTGAGGTCCATGCTGGTCTTGAACGCCGCTTGCCGGCATTCGGTGCAGATTCCTTGCGCTCGAAGTTAAGTGATGTAGCAGTTCGCATGTTTTGAATCGAGGCCAGAGAAGAAGCTCTGCAAACCATCCTGCACTCCGGGGCCTACAACCGGCTTTTCTACGATGAGCCCGACTCCCAGCAGACTGCCGGGTGGAGTCC